TCCCTCTCCCACTCCCCCTGCTTGTGTTCCCTCTCTCGCTGTGTCTCTCTCTGTCAAATAAATAAAAATAAAATCTTTAAAAAAAAAAAAAAAAACAACTCCTAATCCCTCTCTCCCAGATTTCTCCATTTTAGTATATGGCTCCATAAGCTAACCAGCTGTAGGACTAAAATGGACGCATACTCCTTGATTTTTTCCTTTCCCTCATTCTCCAACCTAACAAAATCAGCAACCAAAATAGCTCCCTTATGTCACTTTGCTCTCATTCCTATTACCTCCTAAAGAGCCCTTCCCTGACCAATCTAAACTAGCCATCTTAACATTAAACTAGCCCACCACCCTGTTTTAATTATCTGAATAACATTTACTTCTATCATGTTCTCTTAATTTTTATATTTGTTTATTCACTTATTTACAGTCTATTTTCCCAAACTACCCTCTCCCCATCCCAAGTCCCCACCACATGCCACTCTACCCCCCCTGCTCTACATAGAATGTGACCCTCATGATGCAGGGGCATCTTATAGGTCTTGCTCAACACTCTACCCCCATAACAATGCCTGGTACAGAGTAGATGCTCAATACTCTCTCAATGGAGGAATGAACAAATCCTTACTTAAAAAAAACTATCTGTCTCGAATTTGTCCTAAGAAGGGGCATTTGAAGCTATATAACTAGGTAACAAACTTGACTCTCCCACATTATAACATGTCAGAGTTAAAAAAAAATCTCATTTTTAGAGATGTTATACCATTTACCTCCCTTCCTTTGTATGTCACCAAAGCAGCCAGTGGTTTGGCGTAAAATCTGCTGTAGGAAAATCCCAGGCAGCCATACATACTGTTTGCTGTGAGCTTCAAAGCCTTCTGTCGAATGTCATACTGCAGGCCACACAAAGACAAAAGACAATAATATTTTAGACATTTAATCATTAAATTAGATGTCTTTTTATATCACCAATGAGGAGAAACCCTCAATATCCCTGGAAAAAAAAAAAAACTGTCAACACACTCAACCCATCCTCCCAGATCCATGATTCCCTGACCTTCTAGAAGCAAGTAAACACAGACTCCAAAGCTCCCAGAAGTCAGAAAGATTTTGTTCAGATACAGCTTTGCAGACAGAGGTATCTTCCATTCTGAGGCATTCTACTGTTTTTGAATGGTTTGCTGCCCACAAACTTAAAATAAGCCCATGTAATTGCCCATAGCATCATGTTTAAATCCTCCTAGATAATCAAAGTCTGAAAGCTAAGACTGTCACTGAGATGTCTCTTATTGAAAAGATATACCTGAAGAACAAGGTCTGGATTTAAATCCTGCTGTTTCATTAGCTGTTTGACTTGTTTTCTTCTCTCTACCAGCTTCCGGATCTCTCTGGGCAAAATGCCCATTTCTAAGTTTGGGTCTGGCAGCTCAGGGATCTGTTCTTGTTCTCCATCCTGATGAACACACAACAGAAATTTCAGACAAATCAAACTTTCATAAAACAAATTTCTAAAATAATACTTTGTGGAACTTTACATTATGATTAAATCTTGAAAAGCTACTTTCCTGCTTAAGTATAGGTCAACAACACATGGGTGGGAGAAGAAAAAGCTGAGAACAAGTCAACACTGGCCTCTTCGCCCACTTCGATCAGCCTCATTCCCAGTATCTCCACCCCTCTCGTTATTGATTAATGTAGATATCATTTAAAGGGATCAATTTTTATATATACTCCTCTCTTCAACAAGATTGGGGAGCAACATGTTTAGAGAAATTGTTTTTAAAATAAAAACACTGAAGGGTGCCTGGGTGGCTCAGTTGTTAAGCGTCTGCCTTCGGCTCAGGTCATGATCCCAG